TTATCGAGGTCACGAACAACGCTGACAATATCTACTCTCTCGCGTTACCATGCTGTTATCCCTAGCGTAGCTTTTATCCGTTATCGACCACTTGTACAATAAAAATGGCCTGTTCACTATACCATACTTACGTAAAATTTCGACTTGTATGTCAAAGTTTATTGCATAGTTATACTATTATACTTCCTTTTTAATAAATGATTAACATTTACTCTATCTGATTTCACTTTCAGATTAACTATACATGGTTTATTCTCTTTTAATAACAATGTTATTTTTAACAATATTAATGATTATCTCATTAATTATTATAATAAAGTTATATAAAAATAGTAAATGGACATATTCAGTTACATTTTATGAAATCAACGCCCCATTTAAACTGTCAGACTAAAGCTGTCTCTAGAGTTTACATATTTAAGAATTTTAAATTATCATTAAATTTTTATCTAGATAAGTAGCTATAATCTCAAATTCAAGTATTTCATTGTTATATCAATATATTACTTGATATGCTAAAAAATGAGTAGAATAGATACAACTAATTAGCCTACAGTAAAGCTGCATAGGGTCTGTTGAGATAGGTAAACTTATTACTAAGTGTTCCCCCTCTAAGAACCGTACGTGCTACTTTCATAGCATACGGCTCAAGCATTTATATTTAAACCTGTCTCATATTTTTATATTAGTTTAAATTATATAAACACCTATATCTAAGTCAGCATTCTTTCGAATTAAACTATCTCTTTTATTTTATTTTTAAAAGATTAGTTCTATCTTATTCATTACAAATAAGCATTTGCTTTTTAGATTATCCTTTACCCACTATTATATACTTAATTTCACAATTAAGCTTCCATTAAAAATAAATTAAATTATTTAAATGGTTAATATTGGGTTTACCTAGTTTATCTAATAATACTTTTATGATTACCTTAGAATTTCACTATACGTTTATTGATATAATATATTTATAAATATATTAATGATCCATTAAAGAAAAAACGAGAACTTTTTCTTACATATCAATAAGTATCCGCTTCAAACGTGAATTCGAAAAACTATTCATAGTAATCTAGCTCATTAACCTTTTAAAATATAAAAGGTCTTAAATTAATGGCATAAGCTTTATACAAAAAAATTACTTTAAATGCATATTATGCTGAGCTCATACAATGGATTGTAAGATGGATTTTCACCATATTATTATTAGATACTTTTACTAGTCGCACTCTCGTCTAACTTTAGGTAAACGGCATCTTCACCGCTAATTCAATTTCACTAAGACCTCATTTGATACAGTTATCGCATCGTTACTCCATTCATGCGGGACTATAATTAGTAGACACACGGTAAATCAAATTTATCATATTTAATTTAAATAATCAATATTATTTTTCTTTTATTTAAATTAAATTTAGATGGGATTTTGACCTGATACTTACTTTCGCAAGCCGTTAGAGTACATCTTAATCGTAATTAATTTATCTGCTCCTCCTTGAAGGTAAACTAATAAATTAGTTTCGATAACTACCGTATACTCGTTGCTCTTTTACATTATTAACAATGATTTAGATCCGCGATTGCCCATTTCATTTTCATGTATCTTATATCTTGTTACCATACCTTGAATGATTAGTTCAGCCATTATATATTTTTCAATACATAACTTGGTAATATAAGCTTTAGGGGTTCCCCGGAATTTGGTAGTTTGGCCCATAGAATGAAGATTTCCCAAATCTTCTACGCAGGCATTTCGCTACATTATGACTCTCATTATAAAGCCGCCATTGACTTAACTTTTGAATACCTTATCTTTCAATAAAATATCTTATTATTAAGCATTGGGCAGAATTCACACTTTATACAACAACGATTTGTTTTTGCAAAGTGCTGTGTTTTTAGTAAACAGTCGCACGATATGTACTTTATTATTTCCTTTTGACTAACGTAGGAAATATGTTTTATTAGGATAGGTAGATCCTCACGGATTTTCCCCCCTTCAGAACTGTACGTGCCACTTTCATGGCATACAGCTCAAACAACCTCTTTTTTGTTAATTACGTATTAACTATTCAGAAACTTTCTTAGAGTTTTTCGAACGTTTATTAAAGTAATCTTTATCACTTTTTAGGTAATAATTTTTGTTATTGTCACAAACATTTTTATAATAGACTATAGGGTGTCTACCTATATTATATAATGTTACCTTTTTACCAGCTTCATTAATATAACCGAATTGAGTTTTTGAATGCCCAACTTTTTCAGAAATACAAAAACGATCTGTGACAGCTTTAATAATATTCGTTTGTAATTTACGCATACCTCATCTTAACATGTTTTTTCATACAAATATTTGAAGTTTCTGGAAGATTCTTTTAGAATTAGTGAAATCATAATAATTTGCTCATCCACGTAATATTGGATTTAACAATGATATCATTGAAGGAAGATTAAGATGTAAGTTTGATCTAATGAGGTTTTTGATTTTCAGTTTAAATTCTTTTACTTTCTTAGGATCGGCTTCTTTCAATACGATTGTATCTTTGATACTTAATTTAGTGTTACCTAATTTAAGACCTTTCTTTGTCGAAGTTCTATAGAATGAAACACCAAGGAATGTAAAGTTCCCTGATTCACTCATTGTATCAATTACTTTTGTCTTATTATCATTTAATGATAGACCTCTTTTAGTTAAGAAATCTTTCATAATTCTAATTATCACTTCAGTCATTCATATTTGTGGAACTATTATTAAAGTATCATCGGCATATCTTACATATCTAATTCTCGTATGTAAATGTACGTATTTTGGTTTTAATCTTTTGAATTCACTGTTTATATAATCTTCAAGCCCATCTAATACAAGATTAGCAATTATAGGAGAAATTATTCCTCCTTGGGGAACACCTAGATCGGTGTTATGATATTTTCAATCATTTAAAGTTACATAACCAGCTTTTAAGAATTCTTTGAGAACTCTTTTATCCATAGGAATATTATCCAAAATTCATTTATGATCGATATTGTCGAAGAATCCTTTAATATCTGCATCAATAACATAACGAGGAATCAAAGTTTCTTTAAGATTCTTATTGATGTAGAGGTAGAAATATACCATAGATACGGCATCTCTTTGAGATCTGCCAGGACGGAATGCATATGAATGTAATTCACCTTTCACTTCTGCTACTGGAGCTAAAGCTAGAGCAAATAATGCTTGAAAACATCTATCTTTAATAGATGGAATCCCTAAGTAACGGATTTTACCATTTGCTTTTGGGATACCAACTCTTTTTACAGGTTGGCTAACATAATTCTTTATATCTTTCAATACAAAAATCATGTCTACTTTTTCATCATCATTTTTGAAAACAAACTTATCAATTCCTGGAGTATTTCGTCCACCACTGTGAGCAATTTTGTAAACTGCTAAAGCACGTCCTTCAAAACTATGTACTAATGAGTTTTGTAACTTATAAACTAGTTTTCAATTCTCTTTGATTGTTTCCTCTGCAATTCTACTTTGTAATCTATCAACTTTTGCATTAACCTTTTTAAAATTAATGGAGTCTCAAGCTAACTTTTGTTCAATAGAAGAAGTTTTTAATAAATCTCTTTCATTAGCCTTAAAACTTCTACTAAAAGGTCTAGAGAAAGGTATAATAAGTAAAAATATGTCTGTTCTCATGTCGAGAGCCTAATTCACTATTTCCTACTATTAAAACCATAAAATTATTAAACTAAGCTCTTACAATATTAAATTGCAGCAGGTTATCAACTTCGAAGTCAGCATCCTCTCGGATTAGAGTATATACTCCTATCACTGCCATTACAGCAATGCATTCGCTTCCTCTTGTATCTTTTACCCAGTATCATGTACTTAAATTTCCAACAAGTTGTGACCTTATCTTTATATTAAGCTTCTCAATAAACCTATTTATTATCAAGTGATAGTGGGCTTACCTTGTTTCGATATTAGTATCAGTTTGATTTTTAGGTGCTAGACTATCAACCGTTGGCCATAACGTGTTCATCATTAAAGCACTCGACATACTTTAACCACTAACCAAAAATTTAATTCACGATTGTTCGAACATCTAGTTCACTTTCGTTCACCATGAATCTCGTGCCAAGCTCCTACAATATATAAAATATACCTTCGGCTACACTTTTCCCCAAAGCTTCATACAAATCGATTACTCAAAATGCATGTTTGGGTAGGCAAATACGGATGAAACATATTGTAACCAATTGTTACACTACTAATATCGACTTTGCAAGTCGCACGCCGAGTTCATTAAATGAGGGTACCTTATTCGCTTTCTTTTCTACTTTCGTATACCTGTGTCGGTTTTATTACGGTATTGTCATGAAAAGGTTTTCCAGTACTAATTATTGTTTAAAACCTTATTAGTCTTTCTTTTCATTATTAATTTCCTATTAATTTATACCTTTCAATATAAATCTTAGGGACCGATTTTTTATTAAAACCTCATACTTAAAGCGAAGGGGATTAGCCCCTTAGTCGTTACTCATGTCAGCATTCTCTATTCAATTGTTACATCTCTATCTATTTTAAAAAGATAGTCAAAGATTACCTTAATTTAATTAAGATATTTATTCATTGAATGTTTTGTTACCATATTAATAATTTAATTATATTAACTATTAATATTTACAGGTTCAGTTTTATACTTTTTAAATTTAAGTTCCGATTATTGTCTATAATAATCCCTCTTTATTAATATATTACTAAAAAAGTAATAATTAATTCATGACTAGTCCGTTGATACACGTTGATCATAGAATAGATTACTGTCAAACCCATCTCGTAGTTGTTATAGAGGTGATCTATATTAATTACACTTAGTCAATTTTATTAATAAAATTTGGAACTTTACCTGTTAATCTGGGCTGTTTCCCTTTTGACTATAAACCTTATCGCCAATAGTCTGACTATTATTATTTCATAATCGCAAGAGATTTATGAGATTAAATCATATTGATAATCTTAATTAAAAGACCCCAATTATGATTAATTGCTTTACCTCTTGGTTATTATAATAATGCTATACTAAGATATATTTCACAAAAAACCAGCTATCTGTAGATCAGATTTGTCTTTCACTGCTTATCATCGCTCATCAAATAATATTGCAACATTAACTTGTTCAGTCGATTAGCTTTATTATAATCTATTAAATTATAATAAATAAACCACTTGGCGACGATAAGATCATCTACTTTCGGGTCTATAACTATTAACTTTTAATAATTTAATTTTTTATTTAAATTATTTTTTACAGTTTCCTTATAACTAATTTATCTTTTAGTTTTGCTAATAATTATAACTTGCTAACCCATTATACAAAAGGTACATAATCAATCTTTATTCATTAAAGATCTCTTATTGCTCATGATTTTACTAATATAGTAGAATTCCCTTTCGGTACTAGTTAAAGCTTATTGATAATATTTAGCTTTAGGATTAGTTATCCCATTATTCAATCGTTAGTTTACAATTTACTTATTTAAGCTATTCTATTTTCTCTCACCAATACTCATAGAATCTCTGTTGATTTCTTTTCCTTAGGTTACTAAGATGTTTCAATTCACCTAGTGCTTAAATTTACAGTTTCCTTTAGGTCTTTTATCAGTTTTATTTTCACTTGATAAATTTTTACCTTATTATCAATAGCCATACCTACATATTAATTAATCTTTATTAATTTTTATTATACATTTAATTTCTATTTTTTTTTTATGTTTATATATCATATTTTTTACATCTTTTATATCTATAAATAACAGATATATAAATATATATTTGATATATTTTTAATATCAATTAGTATAATGATTTATTTTAATTAATACATTATATTTATTATATAATAATTAATAGTAATTCAATAGTTTTATCTTGCCCTTCTTATTATATTAATTAATAAGATACCTTAAAATTAAAGGTCGAAATATATATATTATAATATATTCTTAAACACACATATTTATTTGCCTTATATGGCACCACGAAATAGAAATATTGTTCTTCTTAACTTAAAAATTAAAAAGAATATCTCCATAAAAGATATAATATATATTGGATAAAATTTTATATAACAATAATTAGTAGCTCCTGGCAAGAGTTATAGTTACATATAAAGATTATAATAAAAAAATTGGAAACAACAAACATCTTTTTTTAAAGTGTAAAATTAAAATTATCCTAATATTTTAGGATAATATAGATATTATAAAATATGTAACGAACCCTATTTTTAATTTTTTTACAAAATGTCATCCTCGAATTATTATATTAATAGATGATTATTTAGTACTTCAGCCAAAGATATTGCTGTATTGTATATTATTTTTGCTTTATTTTGTGGTTTACTAGGTTCATTAATGTCTGTAATTTTAAGATTAGAATTATCAGCTCCTGGTAACCAAATTTTAATGGGAAATCACCAATTATTTAATGCATTTGCTACTGCACATGCTATCTTAATGATTTTCTTTATGGTTATGCCTGCTGCAATTGGTTTCTTTGGTAAAAATATTAGATTTTTTAATTCATTAAATTCAAATAATAATAATGTTTATTTAAATGATAAATTAAGTCCATATTTAGCTGGTTTAATTGAAGGTAATGGAACTATAATAGTACATAATAATATTAATAAAATTAAATATAGTCCTATAATTATTATTGCATTTTATAAAAAAGATGAACCTTTAGCACATAGCTTAAGAGATTTATTAAATATTGGAAGAATCAATAAAAAAGGAAATTATGTATTATGAACTATTAATAAAATTGAAGATACTTATAAATTAATATCTTTAATTAATGGTAAGTTTAGAACACCTAAAATTGAAACATTACATAAAGCTATTAAATGAATTAACAATTATATTGATGATAATACTAACAATGATAAATTGAATTTAAAAGATCCATTAATGGTTTATAATAAAGTGAATATAGATTCTATATTATTTAATATAAATAAATTACCAGTATTAGAATTAGATAATAGTGATCTTCATTATAATGGTTGATTAGCAGGTTTTACTGATGCTAATGGTCATTTTTCTATAACTTTATCATTACAAAGTAAAAAACATAAACCTAGAATTAATTTAAGTTATACATTAGAAATTAAACATACATATACTAATGCTAGTAAAGATATTAACTATATTAATAGTTATTATTTTATAATGATAAAAATTAGTACATTGTTCAATACTGGATTATATTGTCGAGATAAACATTTAAAGTTATTAAATCAAGATAATTATAAAATATATAGTTCTTATATTGTATCTACTAATAGTATTAAAAACTTATTATTAGTTAATGATTATTTTAATAAGTTTCCATTATTATCTTCTAAATATTTGGACTTCAAAGATTGATCTAAATTAGTATTATTAATTAACAATAATGGAGGTTCAAATTCAAAACCTGAAATTGTTAATTTGGGAATTGAAATTAAAAATAATTTTAACAAAACAAGGAAAAATATTACTTGAGATCATTTAAATAACAATTATTATTACTAAAAATCTATTTAATAATTGCCGTTATATATTGTAAAATATATAATTATTACGTTACTATATTCTGGAAATCCCTAAAGCTTTATTTAATATATTATAATATGTTAATATATAGTTATAACTACTATAATTATATTGATTAATTATATTAATATAATATATTGATAATAATAAAGATGTAACAATGGGTAATCAGTAGGAAATAAAAATATAATAATATATATATATATGATCCTCAGAGACTATACGTAACGCATCCAGTTAATTAAATTTACTAAAAATTGGATGAAGATATAGTCCTACAATTTTTGAAAAAAGATTGATAAATGAATTATTTAGTTCCTTTAATGATAGGTGCAAGTGATATGTCATTTGCTAGATTAAACAATGTATCATTTTGACTATTACCTCCAGCACTAGTATCATTATTATCTAGTGCATTAATTGAAAATGGTGCTGGTACAGGGTGAACGGTAAATTATAGTGCCGTTATAAAATATTACTTGATGCAAAAAAGACTCATTAAATTTTATCGTTTAGATATCTTTTATAAATTAATAAATTACTCGTTCATATTATTTTTAGTTAAAAATCATAATATTTTAATTCTTATTAATAATATTGTTATATATAGAAATATATATAAAATATGAGCAGTTAAAAGATTTATTAAGAGTTTATTTGCCTGCATATTATATAATTATAATATGCATCAGAGACTTCATATACACTTATATATGAGTTTAATAATTAATCATATTATTAAATTAAACG